CTCTTCCAGATCCTAGTGTAGTAAAGACAAGTAAAACGAAATTTTGAACTATAAACAATCGAAACGTAATAGGATCTATATTTTAATCAGATTGTTTTGGGGGGTTATTGAATATTGGTCATTGTCATTATGTTCATCATGTATTTAATGTTTTGTTTGTATTTGTGTGCTGCCTCTAATCACAAGGTCACAGAATCAAGGAATAGGTTCAGGCAGATGCGAAAAAAAACTTGTTTCAATCCATAATTTAGTGTAATCTTGGTCATCCCAGTGCAAATAGTCTTGATCATTCAGTCTAAATGATCTCGACTATGACTGTAATCAATATCTGTTGTGGTCAAAGGGGAGATAATTTGAGAATGAACAATTAGAATTGTTTAACAAGAGTATCTGTGATACACATTTAATCCGTTTATATCAAAAGATTTTTTTGCCATCACCATATGGCGATGTACTAGAATAGCAATAGTTGTTTTTATTTTATTTACAATATAAATATTGTTTTTATGTTATTGTTGTATTACACGTTTTGTGTTAATCAAATTTAAATCCTTTAGCACTTCATATAGGTATATATTAAACAGGCTTTCGGCAAGAGGTAAATCTGCTTATTACAGGTCTTTCTTTTTTAGGCCTTAGGCCTGGTGTTATTATAAAAAAGCAGTGACTGAACCTAATCAATGTCAGGCTCCATGCTTTAAAGAGAAATCCTGACTTGTGAAGTTATTTAGGTGGGATTGCTCAAACTTCCAGGGTTTTTATTGTACACATGGAAATACAAAATATCACACGTTGTATTTTCAGTAATTTTACTGTACATATGGAAATACAAAATATCACATGCTGTATTTTCAGACTGTCTAGAGTAGTTTCGTATGGTTTAAGTGCTAAAGGATTGTTCAATTTATAGGTTTTGTTTAATATTTATTATTAAATTGTACATTCCTTAGATATAATCAGATGAGATTTATACATTACTTTCATCATTTAATTTAATGTGAAATGAAATGGAATGGGGTTTAACATCCTACTGTGCAGCTCCGACTGGGCTACTGAAGACGGGCATATACGCCAAATAGTGTGCTATGAGGGAAATTTTTCCCGGGCAGTGGCACTAGGGTCTTCTCTTATATCAAATTCCAAATTTTACGTGCACGTCCATGTGTACCCGGGACTTCGGTTTTCCATCCAACCCGAACAAAAGAAAAAAATATGCAACAACCCTTGTTGACACCCCGGACGACTTAACTGCTGTGGGCGTATGTTTTGTTGCCTGGCAACCTATCTTTTAAACAAGAGCTATACACATATAACATGTAAAACTATGTATCTTTCCAATAGTAGGACGTTAAACCCCATTTTATTTCCTATCGGGTCAACTTTGTAAATAGTAACTCATTTAAACATACATTATGCAAGAGCTAAATCTGCCTATTGCAGGCCTTTCTTTAGGCCTTAAAGTTATCTAAATTATTAATTAGACATTAATTAACTTATTCAGACCATAATCAACTCTGGATGGCATCAGATTTCTCTGATATTAAATAGATTAGAACAGTTTAGCCATATTTTGATTTAAGCCAAAAATAGAGTAGCAAGACTTACATGTAGCTTGAACAACCAGTACGGTGGTTGAAATTATTACACACGTCTTGTCAAACCTTCAAAGGCTAATATCTTCGCTCGCAATAGAGTAATTTGAATGAAATTTTCAAATTATTCATCTTACATTATCTATTTTTGAACTATTTTTGCAAGAATGGCTAGCTCTTTATCTAAATCTTACATAATGTATGTTTAACCATTTCAGGTCCATGATTTATAAACCGATTGAAATACTAGTATGTTTTTTTGGCGGTATATTTCACTTTTAAACTAATTGTTTTCGATGCCAAAGAAAAATGATATTGCCATCTTTATGCAAAGGCCAATCCAATTTCATCTTGGGTTCTTGACGAATAAATAATGTGATGTGATGAAGATTCTGCCATATTTTGATGTGACCGTGTAGTTTATGATATATAAAATATTTTATAATATAAAAGTTATTCACTGACATTAAAATGTTGTTGTATTTTGCCACAGGGCCCTTGAGAGGAAAAAGATGTGCTGGGACGAGACCTTGCATCCCCCCCCCCCCATTCTAACGCTAGTCATATCTAGATGATTCACTGTGACATTGCGGTAAACCGAAAACTTTTGTACATACTTATATAAGCTTCAAAGGAATTCATGCATAATTGCCCATTTCAATTTTGAACTTTGATAATCTCGTGAGGCCTGTTTTGTCAGTCCTGTCTGGTCACCGATTCTCTGCAATTGTTGTGACCACTCAAGAGGAGCCACAGTTGGCTCGCTAGCCTGGAGGTCGGGTGTTCGATCCCTTCATTGGTCGAGAAAGTTCATCGAGATTTTACGGCGTGGTTTCCCCTTGTCAGTGGTGCAGAACGGAGGACCTGGCAAGGTCCTGTGTACACATTGGCGTGCATGTAAAAGATCCCTTGGCAGTTGGAAATCGATATAAGAGTAGGCCGCAGCGCTGCTGTCCGGGCACACTGTATGGCATAAGCCTGTCTTCATTAGCCCAGTCGGAGCAGAACAGTAGGACGTTAAACCCCATTTCATTTTATTTCACTGCATAGTTCAAAAATCCCAGAAAAAAGTGAAAAAATTTGTACTTAAAACTGCCTTCCCACGTACGAACTGTGTGACTTGATGATATATTTCGAGTAAAAACACATTCAAATCTCACTTATCTATCAAAAGTTTGCTTCAAAACTCGCTTGAAAGATTTAAAACTTGAGAATACTACCCCATGCTGCGATAATCTAGTTATATCAGCCTTGTTTTTCGCAGGACCTCATTAGGACAGAAAATGAAATGGGGTTTAACTTCCTACTGTTCTGCTCCTATACTGGGCTTATGAAGACGGGCATACGCCATACATTGTGCTATGAGGGAAATTTTGCCCAGGCAGCGGCACTATCGCCTACTCTTATATCGAATTCCAACTGCCAAGGGATCTTTTACGTGCATTCCAATGTATACACGGGACCTCGGTTTTTCGTCTCATCCGAAGGACTAGACAGCTGTCCTTGTCAGGCCCTCCGTCCTGCATCACTGACGAGGGGGAACCACACTGGGAAATCTGGATGAACTTTCTCGGCCAATGCAGGGATCGACCACACGACCTCCAGGCTAGCGAGCCAGTGTCCTATTTTTAGATTCTATTTGTGGTTATTTGGTGTCCATAAACCATAAATATCAAAGCTTTAGTAAATTCTTGGAATATCCTATGCCAACTTCTTTCTCCACCGTTTAATCACAGGGTCTACTGTACTAAATGTGACCAGCTCCTACGAATCCAGGCGCTTGTTGCACAACTTCATTTTGTACTACGGGCACAAAAGCATAAACTGTATGCCTTTTTATTGTCGTGAATGAGCCGAACTACAGATGATACAACAAATTTAAAAGGAATTGCATTTTTGGAAAAGTTTTAAGCGCTGGACTATTCAAATCTGCTGCCAGCTCTATTTTTATAAAAATGACCAAGAGCCTGGTTTTGTGAGAGCAGCTCACAAATTTCTCACAATTCTTATCTATTGAATATCAACACATGGTTTTGTGAGAGCAGCTCACAAATTTCTCACAATTCTTATCTATTGAATATCAACACATGGGCGCGGTGATTGAGATCGCGGCGAAATGCCACTGCAAATGAGAATTTCTACATTGAGTTTTAAAAGACGTAAAAGATATCGTAGACAAAATGACTGTCCAATGATATGGGGTGTTTTTTACTCTTACGAAATGTGACATCTAAGACTAGTTTATACATGCTGTCGGTTGGTACATGCTATGATTAAAATGTAAAAGTCAATGTAGAAACCACAAGTTTAACACTTAGATTAAAGTTATAATCATTTTTAATGGATTGATGAATAGTCCGACAAAGGGGAAGCAATGACATCTGTTTAAGATTAGATTGATGAACAGTCCGACAAATGATTAAGTCAGTCAATCAAGACAGATTAAGAAGTTAATCAAGGTAGGTGTATAGACGGTATAACACGATAAATACGTTGATCACTTAATTACCTAATTAATCCAGCCTATTATCAACGATAATCGGGTTGAGTGGTAGTTATACACTCAGTAGACTATATTAATTTTGGAATTTTGAATATTATTCACCATGTCTTGATGTCCGGATATTGGCGAAATCCCATCACTGCGTCGGGTATTTTTCTGGTAGGACAGAGTCTCTCTCTAGTTTCCATATATATCAAATACGCCATACTTTTATAATAAATGACTACCCAGTGTTCTCAGAATATCAACACATGGGCGTCCAGTATTTTTCTGGTAAGATATAGAGTGTCTCTCTACTTTCCATATATACCAAATATGCCATACTTTTATAATAAATGACTACCCGATAAATACTTTTGTGGAATGTACCTTTAAAAAAGTCAGAGTTGGTTTGAAATTATTTACACATAAATCATGTGAGATACAGATAATATCAAGTCCAAGAGAGAGAGAAATGGGGTTAAACGTCCACTCGACACAAACTACGTCATTTCGGGAATAACATATGGTTTAAAGGACCTAAGTCCATAACTCAAAATCCTCCAAAATCTTCGACATCGAAAACACGAATTATTGGTCAATTTAAATCAACATTGATGATGTAAACTTACCGGGAAAAGATGAGCTTCTGATATCCGATATTTAAGATAAAATAATTTTTTTAACATTGGTACACGAATCGTGTACCATAATGCGCTTCAGCCCCAGTTGTATTGAGAGACTCGAGGGACGAGGCTAGACACATTGCACCAAATCAAATGGAGTTATGTAGACTAGAATAACTAGACGCTAGAAATTTGCACTCGATTGAGATTGCTGACTTATTTCGCCGAACATAACTGATTTGAAATTGGAGTAAAAACGGAAACCATTAAATGTGTTTATATACATTCATATTACAGCATTATATGCGTTGCGACCCACTTTTGTGAATTTCTAGGTCCCAAATGTTAGCGATTTAGCTCCTTTAATTTTATTTCAATAATTCACTTGCACGTAGGGGTCTTTAGCAGTGGGAGGAAACCGGAGGTCCTGGAGAAAACCCACGAGGTTGGACATACAACCGGGGAATCGAAACAACCCCAGTTGACTCAGTGACAGGCCTTATGACATAGCACACATGTGCTAACTATTTGACCATCCGACACCCCTATCAAGCCTAAACATAATCTGGTCGTGTATAAAACTATTTATGAAAACATCTTTTAAAGTTTTTTTTTATCAATGTTTAATTATCTTAATGTTTTAACAACCAATGAAACAATTTGAAATTAAGAACAACATTTTAAAAATAAATTCTTGAATATTTAAACTGGACAACAGGCCAAATCAATTTAAATTTTAATTCTTTAAGTTACAATTTCATATTTTTAAGTTATATTTTTAAAATGTATTAAAATAAAGCCCTAAAAAAGATGGTATCTATAAACAGGGAATAGGAAAACAAGGGAGGTAATTGTGTTATTATTTCCGGGGTGAATGGTTTTTAAGTGTGAGAATGATACCTATGATCGTATAATAGTGAGTTGATAACCTCACTTGACACAAATTAGGTCATTTCGGGAATAACATTTCAATAATTCGCGTGCACGTATTTTCTTTAGCAGTGGGAGGAAACCGAAAGACCCGCAGATATCCCACGAGGTTGAACAGGTGAACCCTACTTCTTGTCACGTACAAGCAGGGAATCGCAACCACGCACACGCGTTAACCATTCAACCCCCTCCCTTCAATGAATAGTCCACTTGAGTTTAAGGTTTTTTTGCCGGAAGAAATACAAAACAAAACTATTAACAGATGTTCCTGAAGAATAAATTTTTTAATTGATTTGGCCACAGAAAATTATTTCATTATTGCTTTTAATATTTGTGCTTATCAATATACCCCAGGTGATAAGCATCAATATACCCCAGGTGATAATTCATCAATATACCCCAGGTGATAAACATCAATATACCCCAGGTGATATAATCATCCATATACCCGCATGTGATAAACATCAATATACCCCCGGTGATAAACATCACTATAACCCAGGTAATAAACATCAATATATCGCAGGTGATAAAAACTAATATACCCCAGGTGATAATCATCACTATGTCCCAGGTGATAAACATTAGTATACTCCAGGTGATATAAACATCAACATATCCCAGGTGATAATCATCAATATTCCCCAGGTGATATAAACATCAATATACTCCAGGTAATAAACATCAATATATCCCAGGTGATATAAACATCAATATACCCCAGGTGATAAACATCAGTATATCCCAGGTGATATATTCATCAGTATATCCCAGATGATAATCATCAACTACCATAGAGCAACTAAATGACTAAACTACTCAATAATTAATTAATATCAGTGTGCATAGAATTTCATATATTTGGTATTAACCCATTACCTGTGACAACAGTCCAATATATAGGTCATTTCATGGTTATCCAATCTTTGAATGGCATTTAGTAAGTAAACACATTAAAATAAACAGTTCTATGGATAAAAATTACTGTATTTCCATTAAAGCTATGTTTCAACAAAGGGTCACTGTCCTAAGTGGTTTCATTAATGTTAAGATTGTACATAGTATATATATTTTGTGCTTGATAACGACAAGAGAATCATTGTTGAAACGTAGCTTTAATAGAAATACAGTAATTATTATCCATAGAACTGTTGTTTATTTTTTGGGAATTTAAGGCCATGGATCCTTCATCTGAATGATTGAGGAATCCCTTCCAAAATACAATATTGTGAAAGTTGAATCTCTAAACATCTGTATTTACAAAGTTATGATAAAATGAAAATTTGTTCAACATTCGACATCCTCTGTTGACGATATAAAGAAACCAGTGCCACCTACTGTTGGGTAAATCTCTTGATCAGCCTCTTGTTATTCCAACTGAATCCAAGCGTACTGGTGACATTTTGGTTTCCTAATTAGATTTTAAATTATTAATACGAGAACATTTTCATGTGGATGAAGTCGTGAAAATTTAATATCGTCCAACAAATGGATGATTGGCTCCAGTATCTTTAATTATTTTACATTAATAATTCAACATCAATTATACAGAAATCCAACATGGCAATAAATGAACAAAAACACATATTAAAATTAAACAGAAAATGTTAGTCACTGATTCCAAGTATACATTGTTTGGAGATAGAGAGAGAAATGGGGTTTAACATCCGCTCGACACAAACTAGGTCATTTCGGGACTAACATATTTTATTTCATTTATTCGCTTGCACGTAGGGGTCCTTAGCAGTGGGAGAAAACCGGAGAACCAGGTGAAAACCCATGAGGATGGACAGACGATCCTACTCCTTGTCACATACAACCGGGGAAACAAAAACATGTCAGTTGACTCAATGACAGGCCTTATGATACAGCACGCACATGCTAACCATTCGGCCATCAAACCCCCCAACTTTTCTCAGATTAATCCACAATATTAATCTGCCTATTGCAAGTCTTTCTTCAGGCCTGAAATGTTATCTAAATTATTAATTAGACATTAATTAACTTATCCAGACCATAATCAACTCTAGATAGCATCGCTAGCCAGCGATATTTACTGGATTAGGATCCGATTAGCTGCTCAACTTTCATTCATAGTTTGAAACTAGATAATGTAAAGGGAATTTGCTGAAAATTTCAGTCAAATTGATCCACCCTGAATCAAGTATTTGGCGATTGAATTTTGAGCCTAGCCTTGATCATCATTATTTAAGTCGGTACGATAAAAAACATAGTCTCGATTATCCATTTTTTTTTATTTAATCAGAAGCAGAAGACTTTAATGAACGGAATTGAACCATATCTGGACTGATGTTACTTTTGGAGATTCAACTTTCCCAAAATCCTAATATGCAAATGATTCAAAGTCCTTTGAATGGCCATTCGAGACTTTAACATAATTCAACATTAGAACTGCAACAAGATAATAAACAAAATAAGAAACGTTTCATAAAATTTCAACAACTCAAGTCATTCAACCTAATTGTACATTTTTCAGAGAATATCAAATTTTCCACGACTTAATCCATGGTAAAATGTAATCAAATATCATCTCTAGATAATCATCCAGCTTGGAGTCCAGTCTAAAGATAATCGTCCAGCTTGGATTCCAGTCTAAAGATAATCTTCCAGCTTGGAATCCAGTCTAAGATAATCTCCCAGTTTGGATTCCAGTCTAAGATAATCTCCCAGCTTGGAGTCCAGTGTAAAATTATCCCATGAAGTGGAAAGTATCTTAGTTTTTGTCTGGAAGTGCACATGATTGGTTTTATTATGGACCCTATACTGTATAAATATGGACCACGGTTTGGTGGACCCTATAACCTATAAATATGGTCCACGGTTTGATTTACCACATGCTATGACTGGTCTTACCATGGACCCTATAATCTATAAATAGGGTCAATGGTTTTATTTATCACTGCCATAATTAGTTTTATCTAGGTCTCTAATTCATAAATAGTGTCCACAATTTTGTGTTTAGCACTACATGATTGCTTTTATCTAGGTCCCTAATTCATAAATAGTGTCCACAATTTTGTTTAGCACTGAATGACTGAGTTTATCATGGTCCCAAGTTGATAAATAGGGTCCACGATTCTATTGACAAACTTAATGACTGGTTTTATCATGGGGCCTATAATCTATATAAATAGGGTCCAAGGTTTTAATTAGCTCAAATGATGATTTTTGACAAGAAACCGTGAAATGATCCATTCACATTTTTATATTTAGGGTAAATCTCGATCGATTGCCATTAATTTTTTGACCAGTTTGTTTATTGCTGCCATTGTCGGAGAAGATGAACACTTATCGGCGAAACTTTGTCCTTCTTCCAAACTCTGAGTTAACTGAGGATCTAGAGGAATACAACCTATAAATAATAAAAATATCAATTATTATACAGAGAGAGAAATGGTATAACGTCCACCACAGAGAGAGAGAGAGAGAGAGAGAGAGAGGGGGGGTAAGGTCCCCTTGACACAAACCAGGTCATTTCAGGACTAACACATGGTTCAATTTTATTTCAATAATTCGCTTGTCCGTAGGTGTCTTTAGCAGTGGTAGGAAACCTGAGGACCCGGAGAAAACTCACGAGGTTGGAACATCCACCAGACAAAAGAGACAGAGACACACAGAGAGGCAGAGAAATGGGGTTAATGTCCACTCGACAAAAACTAGGTCATTTCGGGACTAACACATGGTTCAATTTTTTATTTCAATAATTCGCTTGCGCGTAGGGGTCTTTAGCAGTGTGAGGAAACCGAAGGACCCGGAGAAAACCCACAAGGTTGGACTGGTTACCCTACTCCTTGTCACATACAAGAGGGAACGACAGCATGGCTCCCTGATAATAAATAATGTAAAAGGTCACTTACCCAAGAAAGGAACTTCTGATTGTTTAGCTAATGCTTCTCCACCACCTTTAGAAAATATATTTGTACATTCCTGAAATATTAACACTTTCACTATTAACAATTCATCAAATTTAAAAAATATCATTCTTTAATTGTTTCAGAGAATCAGGGTAGTCTATATTTACATGTACCAGGTGCCAAAGTGTTAACTGGGGGTAGTCTATATTTACATGTAGCAGGTGATAAAGGATTAACAGGGGACAGTCAATATTTAAATACACCAGGTGCCAAAGGGTTAATTTCAAATAGAAAAATGTTGTGACTGTAAAAAGCTGTGAACAGGGTTAACGACTGTAAAAATCTTTATTTGATTGCTAGTTTATAATATCACCATGTTGTTACATGTTACTTACTGAACAATGTGGACAGACAAATCCACTCATGTTCTCTATAATACCAATTACTGGAATCCTTGTCTTCCTACAGAACGTTAATTCTCTTCTAACATCACCCACGGCAACAGCCTATAAATAATAACATCACAATTATACATCACCCATGGCAACAGCCTGTAAATAATAACATCGCAATTATACATCATCCATGGCAACAGCCTGTAAATAATAACATCGCAATTATACATCACCCATGGCTACAGCCTGTAAATAATAACATCACAATTATACATCACCCATGGCAACAGCTTGTAAATAATAACATCGCAATTATACATCACCCATGGCAACAGCTTGTATATAATAGAATCACAAATGGTTTAAACATATTTTATTACGATAAAGCAGAATGATTGGAAAAAAGTTACAGATACTTACAAAAACATCATTTCCTTCATAAGTAAATGAAATTATTCAGGGTGGTCAAGGGCCATAACTCTGAGAGTAATTATCAGAAATCAATAGGATTCTTCATCACATAACTATGAACAATGTGAATAAGTTTTAAGTCAATGGGATAACAATGTAAGCCTCTATAGCTAAAGCCTTCATGAGATTTTTCAAAGTGATAAAGGGGCATAACTCTGGTAGCAATTATCAGAAATTACTGAAAATCAATAGAATTCCTCGTCTCATGAAAATAAACAATGTCTAGAGTCATTTAGCTGGACTAATGGGGCAAAGAGAACATGTGACCACATATACAGCCAAATTTTTAAGTCTTAGCTTTGATTTCAGTAAATGAAATGAAATGGGGTTTAACATCCTACTGGTCTGCTCCTAAACTGGGCTAATGAAGATGGGCATAAGCCATACAGTGTGCTAAGAAGGAAATTTTGCCTGGACAGCGGCACTACGGCCTACTCTTATATCGAATTCCAAATGTCAAGGGATCTTTTACATGCACACCAATGTGTACACGGAACCCCGGTTTTCCATCCCATCCAAACAACTAGACAGATGTCCCTCTGTCCGGCCCTCTGTCCTGTATCACTGACAAGGGTGAAACGCCCCGGAAAATCTGGATGAACTTTCTCGGCCAATGCAGGGATCGAACAATCGACTTCCAGGCTAGTGAGCCAGCGTCATACCTGCTTAGCCACCGTGACCCCCTTTCAGTAAATGAATCTTTGCGAATTCTCATCTTCTATACTAATATTTGTGACTGTCGTTTGTCTGTCTGTTCGGGGTTGGCGGCTACACTAGGTTTGCCCCGAGTCTGAAATTTGGGGTATAGGGGTAGCTCGGACCGGGGAGTAACATAGGCCAGGTGGCGTTAGTCTACCACTTCCGGTTATGACCCCCGAGTGAAGCCGGGCATTCTTCTAGTATCATGTATATTTTACCTGTGGTGTTGTGACGAGTATGGCACCATCAGGATTATACTGTTTTAAATTCTCCATGACTGTTATATGTTCATCTGATGTTCCAGGGGGTGTGTCTATTATCAAATAATCCATGTCTTTCCAATATACATCATTTAAAAACTGTTTGATCATTGCTATAAATAGACCAATATACATCATTGCTATGTATATTGCTAATATACATTGTTTAACAACTGTTTGATCATTTCTATAAATAGACCAATATACACCAATTAATGTTTGATCATTCACAACGAAACAAAGAAATGCCATGTGCTGATAGTACGAGAAGGCATATATTTTAAATGGCATTTAAAGAGAGAGAGAGAGAGAGAGAGAGAGAGAGAGAGAGAGAGGAATGTGGTATAACTGTCCACTCACACAAACTAGGTCATTTTGGGACTAACACATGGTTCAGTTTTATTTCAATAATTCGCTTACACACAGGCTTCTTTAGCAGTGGGAGACAACAGGAGGATCCAGAGAAAACCCACGAGGTTGGACAGATGACCCTACTAATCGTCACGTACAACCGGGGAATCGAAAACCATGCACACGCTAATAATTCGGCCATCCAACCCCAAACCAATGTGTACACAGGACTTTGGACCAAACGAATATACGTTGTGCTTTGCCAGGTTCTCTGTCTTTTACGTGCACGCCAATGTGTACACAGGCCCTTGTTTTTTCGTCCCATCCGAACGACTAGACAGCTGTCCTTGTCAGCCCCTCCGTCCTGCATCACTGACAAGGGGGAACCACGCCGAAAAATCCTGATGAACTTTCTCGGTCAACAAAGGGATCAAAACCTCGAGGTTAGTGAGCCACATTTAATTATACGCAATCTGGTTAAAATACAGATCCTATTTCGTTTCGTTTTTTATAGTTCAACATTTTGTTTTACTTGTCTTTACTACACTAGGATCTGGAAGAGTTGTTATATAACCCACATTCTGGTTGTTGTGAGGGATTAGCCAAAGAAACGGTCTGTTTTTGGTGTGAGGTGCACCGAACTGTGGGTAACCCACTAGAAACATCGATGCTGATTGGTCAATCAAATGTCTGACTTTATAGGGCCAAAAGCTGCTCGTATGGCCTCTGACGCGACCTTCAACTACAACCGGTCAGAGCTTCCCGTAGTTTAGGCCATCGAAAGTATATATATAAAAAAGAAACCAAACAGATTAATTTTAGTGATAAGATCAAAAGAAATTATCTATATAAGATTTGTGTCCCAACCTGTTTTCTTTGGTCCTCTCCATACAACTGCATCATTTTGATTGTCCAGTAAAAACGATATTGACATAATACCTAGTGTCTGTTCTTTATCTACAAATACTGGTAACCAGCTGAAAATATACAACAAAAAAAAACAGGCCTTTAACATCAACACAATACTGGTAACCAAGTTCAAGATCAAAACAATACTGGTAACTAAGGTGTTTAACGTCAACCCAATACTGGTAACCAGCTGAAAATGTTGAACACAAACACACTACTTCTATCCTATCAACATATTTTAATGTTCTAAAAGTTTGTTAAAAGTTTGGTTTAAAAAAAAAGTATACATGTATTGCGTTTTCTGTCCAGATTTTAATCTTGTGAGAGAGGGAGGGAAATGGAGGTTAACTACACTCAACACAAACTAGGTCATTTTGGGACTAACATATGGTTCAATTCTATTTCAATAATTCGCTTGCACCTAGGGGTCTTTAGCAGTGGGGGGGGGGGGGGCAACCAGAGGACCCAGAGAAAACCCATGAGGTTGGACAGGCGACCCAACACCTTGTCATGTACAGCCAGGGAATCGAAACCCCGCCAGTTGACTCAATGACAGACCTTATCATACAGCGCGCACATACTAACCATTAGGCCATCCAACCCCCTTTTTTGAATCTTGTACCTACCCTTCAGGACACTGGTGAATATCTTGATTGGAAACATTAAACATTTTCGGAATACTTGGTCCACATAAATCTACGTCCAATATACCAACCTGAATACAATAAAATTAACATGCCTAAATACTGCACTAAGATGGAGAATCATCAAAATATGGAACTATTTAAAACTTAATTATTGAATTAAAAATATTTTCATTCTAAATAATTTATATTTACAAATAGGGGTAACCATTAAAAATTAAGACATGCCCCGAGTAAACCGACTGAGCTAATGAAGACGGACATATGCCATGCAGTGTGCTATGGGTGATATTATGTCTGGACAGCAGCGTCTTGTGATGTGTAACTCCAGGTGTTACTAACAAATTTTGAATTTATTACATCACTGTAACCCAGGGGGGATCACGTGGCTAAGTGGGTAAGACGCTGGCTCGCTAGCCTGGAGGTCGGGTGTTCGATCCCTGCATTGGCCGAGAAAGTTCATCCAGATTTTCCAGCGTGGTTTCCCCTTGTCAGTGATGCAGGATGGAGGGCCTGACAAGGACAGCTGTCTAGTCATTCGGATGGGACGGAAAAACGAGGTCCCGTGTACACATTGGCGTGACGTTAAAGATCCCATGGCAGTTGGAATTAGATACAAGAGTAAGTCGTAGTGCCACTGGCCAGGTAAAATTTCCCTCATAGCACACTGTATGGCGTATGCCGGGATGCCCGTCTTCATTAGCCCAGTTTAGGAGCAGAACAGTAGGACGTTAAACCCCATTTCATTTCATTTCTGTAACCCAGGTATCATTTAATCTTGTGTATCTAGCACTAATTTCTTTCACATTCGTTTAATATCAAATCTTTGTTTTAAAATTCGTAAAAATCATTTAAAATTACAGTACTGTACTTGAAATACATGTACGAGATTATGTCAGGATTTGTAACCTATAAAAGACAATGTTGTAAAATCTTACTTTGTGACCAGCATCACGTAAACTTAATGCTATTTGTGTAGCTACAGTACTTTTTCCCACTCCTCCTTTCCCTGATAATACCAATATAACATGTTTTACAGTTGACAGGTGATCTGAAAAACAAACAAACAAAATTAAAGTGAGAGAGAGAGAGAGAAAGAGAGAGAGAGAGAGAGAGAGAGAGAGAGAGAAAGAGAGAGAGAGAGAGGTGGGGTTTAAAGTCCTATCCACACAAACTAGGTCATATGGTTCAATTCTATTTCAGTAATTTGCATGTGCGTAAGGGTCTTTATCGGTGGGAGGAAAATGGAGGACAAGGAGGAAACCCACAAGGTTGGACCGGTGACCCTACTCCTGGGAATTGAAACCATGCCAGTTGACTCAATGCCCCATATATTCTCGCAGGAAAGGAACTAACAGTCAGTTTAGGTAGAAAATCGTAATTTACTCCAAAACGAGCCGGTTGGTGACTTGGTTGATTGCCCGTCAGTCTGTCCACCGAGGGCTGGGCTTCGCACTCCTGGAGCCGCCCCTGCCCCCACATACAAAATTAAACACGATTCAATAATCTGTAGATTAGGGAGTCGTGGTCGCTGCATGATTAAGGTGTTGGCTCAAAATCAGAGGGCTCTGGTTCGCTCCCGTCGTTGGCCAAGAAAGTTCCTCATGGTTTTCTGGCTAGGTTTCTCCTTGTCGAAAGTGCTGGACAGATGACCTCGCAAGGAACAATGCCTAGTTGTTTGGATGGGACAAAAAAAAAACATACGTTAAAGAACTCCTGACAGTTGAAATTTAAAATTAGATTATGATAAATAGCGTGATGTAAACACACTGAGGTGCGTAAAAAAAATTTGTGTACCATTAACCAATGGTAAAATGTTTATTTTCATTTTGTCTTATATTGGATATCAGAAGCCCATCTTTTCCCGGTAAGATCACAACATCAATGTTGATTTAAATTGACAAATAATTTGTGTTTTCAATGTCGAAGACTTTGGATGATATTGAGTTAGAGACTTAGTTACTTTAATCTCAACCAATGCCGCATTTTCTTCAGTAGTAAACAAGTTAATTAGAATTAGAAAAAAAATTTAGATTTAGATCTACCGAAATATGTCATATAAAGAATTTTGTCATTTTAATAACTTTGATAAACAAAGATCAACATGAATCATACGTTGCCATCTTATTTTAAGTGTCTATAGCTAAAACTTTTGTAAAACAAGTTTTACAGTCACAAAATAAAACTACCTCTGGGCGCAGACATCTTGAAATTTAGCTCTCAGTACCGACGAGATTTTGCGAGAATTGTTATAATAACAGGTGTACATAGAAAAGACATTTCATTGAAAGTGTCGTCTTTGACTTGAAAAACCACACACGATGATGGACTTCCTAGCAGAAAACAGTGTTTATTTTTATGGCATTTCTATCGTATTAACAATCTGTGCGCTTGTAGCAAGCACACGATATACAATGAAGAATATTTTGAAGGTTTGGGGTGGCGAGAAGCAGATTAGCGATGCAGACGACAGGAGGGAAAATGAGTTGGATGATGGCCGGGGGTCAGAGGGTGACGATGAAGCTGAAGACGAAGCCGGGCGTAAGGGACCTTTTTTCTACTTTTGCTTTATTTTTTCTTTGCTTTTAATTTTATTTCTTGGTTCAACCGAATTTGGTGTTCACATAGTTACTTTAGTAACGAAAATATGAGAGCCTGCCCTGCCTGCTCTCATATTTTCGTTACTAAGTCTAAAAGTAACTAGCTAGTGTTCACAATGTCAATAGTGAATGTTCATTTGATTCATGACAACAATTGTATGGAAAATCAATATTTCAGATCGTTTGGAATTTGATTCATCAATGAGATTCTATTTTCTACACATCATCACTTGTCGAAATAGATTATTCATAGCAGCAATCTTTCATTTCTGTTTTTACCTGTTTGATCAACTGATTTTTTATCGCAGTACAATTACAAGCAGGATTCTCTTTAGTTACTTTAGACTTTAGTAACGTAAATTGTATCGGCTCTGCTCTCTACTACGTTACTGTCAGCTCCTAGTACGGTATGAAAATAAGGCTTTTCCCTTATCTCGGTGAATCTAAGGCAATTTGCAGAGCCGATACAATTTACGTTACTAAAGTAACTAGATTCTCTTAACAGATGAAATAAATTTATTTACTGTCTGAACCATTGTAAGTTTTAAACAGATTTCTTTGATTATGAACAAGCTACTTTGTACTTTACTTTGGTTATTATAAACTTACCTGTCTGTTTGAAATCAACTCCCTTTCAGTAAAATCCATTGCACAACTAAATATCCCAACGAATAAAAAAGTTCTCTCTTGACAAATTTGACTATTTCGACTGAATGGAACACAACAATGCTTTCGTCATGTGTTGGACGAAACCAATGCAGCTGTTGCAGGGGTGGTTTAATCTTGACAGATAGTTTGACAACCACGCAATGAAAACAAACCGCGATCATTACGATCGTTTGAGTTTGGTCCACGAAAAATATGAACTATTACTAAGGTAATTAGCCTACATATATAGGAGATTTATATTGAAACCATTGATCGCCAGTCTATCAGATTTTATTCACAATGAAAATATCACTGATTGCACGGATACTCGTACATGTAAAAATAAAGTCATATATAAACTAAAAATATCTTTATATCATAAATAATATAACAAGGGTCATGAAGCTCATCTGAAGTCTCCGAGTGTATTGTTAATTTGATAGCATTCTTTCGATCAAATAATAACTGCTTCAAATAATTAAAACAAAATATTTCAAACGGTAAAGTTATAAAATTTGCAGAGATTTTACTAGAACTAGAATGTAAAAGATGGCAAAAAAATAAAAGAATATGGACAGTTATGTGTGTGAACACTCAAACTCAATGCCGAGCCAAGACTTATAGCTTATTTTTAAACCAAACTTGAATTGTCATAAAATTACCCCTTATACGAAATGATAATAATGATATCTCCCGAAGAGTGACATAATCTGCTTCCTATTGGTATTTTTCTGTGTCAGAAGTTTGTGGGATTTCAATTTTTCAAGAGAGAACTTATTTATTCTTTGGAATAATTAGTCATGCAATGGATTTTATTTAACGGGAGTTGATTTCAAACACAGGTAAGTTTATAATAACCAAAGTTAAGTAGTTTGTTCATAATCAAAGAAATCCGTTTAAAATTTACGATGGTTCAGACAGTAGTACGATACATTCTGTCTCCATTCTCATTCTCACTCTCAGTCCAAGCCCAAAGTTTAGCACTTTAACTTTAAATATGAACTGTAGCATTATAACAAAAATGAAATGTCACCCACCTGGCCTTGAAAGCAAGGAACTGCTAATAATAATAATAGAGATTTTGTTAAATCCTACATGTCAGTTGGCCCGTACAGTGGCGTACATACATTGTAGTACATAATCCAATGACATTGGCAATGTGCATGTAATCATTTCCACCATGAGACATTTCAGGTTCTATTATTGTTTGGAAAACTTTATCCTGTGCGTGAAACCATAATGTCCGTAATTGAGTCAAGCGGCGCGGTTTCAATTCCCTGTTTGTACGTGACAAGGAGTAAAGTCACCTGTCCAACCTCGTGGGTTTCCTCTGGGTCCTACAGTTTCATCCCACTGCTAAAGACCCCTACGCGCTTAATCGAATTATTGAAATAAAGTTGAAACATATATGTTAGTCCCGAAATAACCTAGTGATTTCCGAGTAGACATAGACCTCATTTCTCTCTCTCTTTCTTTCTCTCTCTCACTCTCTCTCTCTCTTTCTCTCTCTCATTTGGGGGATCACGTGGCTAAGTAGGTAAGACGCTAGCTCGCTAGCCTGGAGGTCGGGTGTTCGATCCCTGCATTGGCCGAGAAAGTTCATCCAGATTTTCCGGCGTGGTTCTCCCTTGTCAGTGATGCAGGATGGAGGGGCTGACAAGGAAAGCTGCCTAGTCGTTCGGATGGGACGAAAAACCGAGGTCCCGTGTACACATTGGCGTGGACGTAAAAGATCCCATGGCAGTTGGAATTCGATATAAGAGTAGGCCGTAGTGCCGCTGCCCGGGCAAAATTTCCCTCATAGCACACTGTATGGCGTATGCCCGTCTTCATTAGCCCAGGTTAGGAGCAGAACAGTAGGACTTTAAACCCCATTTCATTTCATTTCATTTCATTTCTCTCATTTGGATGGGATAAAAATCAAGTTTAAACTGTGTACACATGCTGCGCGTACAGTAATAGAAAATATGCAGATGAAATTTGATGAGTAGTAGAGTGACAGATTCGGTTGGGTGGCCGAATGGTTAATGTGTGTGCATTGGATCAGATGGTCTATCATTGGCTTGGTTTCGATTCCCCACTTGTACGTGTGACAAGGAATGGGGTTGCCTGTCCAACCATGTGGGTTCTCCCTGGGTCCGCCGGTTTCCATCCACTGTTTAAAAGTAAAAACCCCTACGCGAAAGCGAATTATTGAAATAAAATTGAACCAGGTTAGTCCCAAAATGACCTTGTTTGTGTTGTGGGCGTAAAACCCCCATTTCTCTCTCGTTCAATATAAACAGCCATTGATGATGTAAATTGAACCGAAAACACACAAGTGCTCAAATTGTCTGAGAGTTTTTTTTTCCCTCAAGAAATCAATGTGAAATTATAGTTCATGTTGATAGATGAAGACATATTTGATGGACACATCTATGATGAGCATTTTGATGGCTTCAGAAATTAATCAACAGGGCCGTCAAACAAACATGTCCACATACATACATGTATCATTGATTTCACAGAGGCCCAAGAAATTTAAGTTTACATTTCATCAATATTTATTATCTATTCTTGGCCATTTCCTTTAACTTTAAAGATTTTGTTTTGATTTTTTATGTAGCTCTTTAGTGATTTGTTCAAATCAGTCCAGAAGTATTTTTTCAATATGTGCTGTGATTTTGCCTCTATACACAGGCCTTGTAATATAGTGATTTTAGTTGAAACTGACAAAATGTCAGGCACCATTGAAGTTAAACCTGTGCACGCGTGACTGGCATTTTTTTGAAAATATAAAATCTGTTCATAGCCTAATCCACAGTTGTCACCGTTGGTTACGAATTTGGGGGGTTGGATGGCTGAATGGTTAGCGTGTGCGTGTTGTATCATAAGGTCTGTCATTGAGTCAACTGACGTGGTTTCAATTCTCTGGTTGTACGTGACAAGGAGTAGGGTTGCTTGCTCGCTTGTCCACCCTCGCGGGTTTTCTGTGGGTCCTCCAGTTTCCTCCTACTGCTAAAGACCCTTATATGCACAAGCGAATATTTGATATAAAGTTGAACCATATGTTAGTCCCGAAATGACCTAGTTTGTGTCGAGTGGACATTAAACCGCATTTCTTGATCTCTCTCTCGATTATGAATTTGAAAATTGGGTTTCATTTAACAGTGGAACCACTGCACAGCACATGTTCGACAGTTATTAATTTTTTATAATGAATACCTCTAAAGTTGTTAAAAGTCTGTTAATTAAGTGATAATAAGAATATTATTACCCTAAATTAGTCATTGTCCATGATTAATGATCAGGCAAGAGATGTGATAATTGATGAATTAAGCTCACATGTTGCAGGGTGTCAATCTATTATAGTCCCGTAAACATGTAGGCCTATATTTAGCAAGTTTCTTTTAATCCTCAACTGTCAGTGAACAGGTGCTATATATGAATAATGGCTCTAGAACAATTCATCCCTGGACAACTCGTCCCCGAGGACAATTCATCCCTGGACAATTCGTCCCAGCATTATAAGTCCCCTAGGACTATCTGCCCCCTTTGGCTATTCATCCCTAAGGACAATTCGCCCCAAGAATAGTTAGCACATTAGTATCATAAGGTCTGTCATTGAGTCAACTGGCCTGGTTTCATTCCCCGGTTTTATGTGACAAGAAGTAGGGTTGCCTGTCCGACCTCATGGGTTTTCTCCAGGTCCGCCAGTTTCTTCTCACTGCTAGTGCTAACGAATTATTGAAATAAAAAAGAACCACCTGTGCCTGTCCCTCAAATCAACTGTCACCCCCCTGCCCCAATTTCAATACAACTAGTCACTCGCTCCATTCCTCGGAAAAGAACTAGAAGTACATGTACATGTAACTAAAACAGAATTCACCATTGGAGATTGAATTTCTGGCTGTGTAAACAAGATAAACAAACATAGGAGAGTAATTGATTCTGTATCCCTCGAAAAAGAACAATAATTAAGTAAAAACATGACTAAAACCAATATTAAAGGGG